CCTCTCTTCATTTCTCTCTAAATTTAATAAAAACATATCCTCGGGTTTAAAAAAAAAAAGCAAATTAATTTTAAAAGTAATTTTAAAACCAGTTTTATCCTCCCTACAAAAGTGCCAGGCCCAGATAGCTTCACTAATTCAACCAGATATTTAAAGAATTACTACCAATTCTTCACAAACTCTTCTAAAAATGGAAGAGATCATTTCCCAACTCATTCTATGAGGCCAATATTACTCTGATGTCAAAATCAGACAAAGACATTAAAACTACAGACCAGTATCAATTAGAAGTAAAACTTAGCAAAATGCTAGCAAGCCTAATCCAGAAACACATAAAAAATTATTATCCACATTGACAGAGTGGGGTTTATTCCAGGAACACAAAGTTAAACACTCAAATCAATCAATGTAAAAAAAAAAACAAAACACACACCAAAAAACCAAATAACCTATATTCTTTAAAGCAGCGATTTTCAACCATTTTTATATCATAGCACACATACTAGTCAACTAATTACTAACATTGTGTGGCACACCAAAAACCATATTATATTTTTTGCCAATCTGACAAAAAAAAAAGGTATAATTTTGATTCTTTCACATCAGACAGCTATTGTTGTGTTGGCTGTTGTCATTTTTTTAACAATCTAAAGGAAAAAGTCAGTGCCCCTGACTAAATAGTCAGATATCATAGGCTTTAAAAATTCTTGTGGCACACTGGTGGAAAATCACTGTTTTAAAGTTTTAATTAAATTTGATACAGAATAAAAAAAAAAGAGGGTAAAGGCAGTCAAATATATGGTGACAGACATCATATAGTGAGCACACAATGGAGTATGCAGATGCCATATTATAAACTGTGCACCTGAAGTTTATATAACCCCAAATACATTTAAAAAATCTAATCTAAAAATCTTCTTGTTAAAAAATCCTTACATGTTTATGAATAAAATGTCTAATATATGTATATGAACAAAAAGTATGATACAGAATAAAATATGATTCTTATGAACCTTAATTGACATCCTATACGTTGTGTTAGGTCCTGTTAGAAGTTTTACTATTAATAAGTAATGTTTCATTGAGCAATATTAAAAAACAAACAAAAATCTAGATTTGCTTCTATCATTCCTAGAACAAATCTATAGGTAACAATATAAGACTGTGCTTTATGACTGACTCTATGATTTGTTATGTCATAAGCTTTTGGGGAGGCTTGCTTATCTCTTCAATACTAACAATATGAAAGTAATTGATACTATTTCAATTTAATAAAGATAAAGAAAAAATCAATTAACATGATATACCATACCAATAAAAGAAATGATCATCTCAATAAAAGCAGAAAAAGCATTTGGCAATATCCCACATCATTTTATGATAAATATGTTCAACAAACTATATATGGAAGGAATTTCCTGTATCTGATAAAGAGCATCTACAAAAAACCCCCTGGCTAACATCATATTTAATGGTGAAAACCGGAAGGTTTCCCCTAAGATCAGAACAAGATGAGGATGTCCACTCTCATCATGTCTACTCAACATTGTTGGAGATGCTAGCCAGGGCAATTAGGCATCCAGACTGAAAAGAAGAAAAACTATACCTATTTCTATTTGCAGGTGACATTTTGAACACATAAAATCCTAAGGAATCCACTAAAAAACTTTAAGAATTAGTAAATGAATTCAGCAACATTGAAAGATTCAAGATCGATATTCAAAAATTAATTGTATTTCAATCACTTGCAATAAAGAATCTAAAAAGAGCCCTAACTGGTTTGGCTCAGTGGATAGAGCGTTGGCCTGCAGACTGAAGGGCCCCAGGTTCGATTCCGGTCAAGGGCATGTACCTTGGTTGCGGGCACATCCCCAGTAGGGGGTGTGTAGGAGGCAGCTGATTGCTGTTTCTCTCTCATCGATGTTTCTAACTCTCTATCCCTCTCTCTTCCTCTCTGTAAAAAATCAATAAAATAAATTAAAAAAAAATAAAAGAAAGAAAACAATTCCACTTAAAATTTTAAAAAGAAATTAATGATTTTAATTTAAGCATTAGAAAAACAATGCCAAACTTAAACTCTGGAAACTTATCACTGAAAGAAATTAAAGATCTAAATAAACTGAAAGACATCCATGTTTACAGATCAGTAGATAATATTAGGATGGCAATACTCCCAAAATTGACCTGCAGTGATGGCGAACCTATGACACGCGTGTCAGAGGTGACACGTGAACTCATTTTTTTGGTTGATTTTTCTTTGTTAAATGGCATTTAAATATATAAAATAAATATCAAAAATATAAGTCTTTGTTTTACTATGGTTGCAAATATAAAAAAATTTCTATATGTGACACGGCACCAGAGTTAAGTTAGGGTTTTTCAAAATGCTGACACGCCGAGCTCAAAAGGTTCGCCATCACTGACCTAGAGATTCAACACAATCTCTTTTAAAATACTAGCTGGCTCTTTATAGAAACTGACAAGCTCATCCTAAAATTCTTAAGGAAATTCAAGGGGCACAGAATAGCAAAAATGTTATTGAAACAGATGAACAAAGTAGGAGTAGTTCCCAATTTCAAAATTTATTGCAAAGCTACAGTAATCAAGAGAGTGAATACTGATGTAACTATAAACATACATATCAATAAAACATAATTTCGAGTTCACAAATAAACCGTTATATTTACAGCTAAGTGATTTTCATTAAGGGTGATGAAACAATTCAATGGCGAAACAACAGTCTTTTCAACAAATGCCACTGGACAACTGGATAGCCTCATGTAAAAGAATAACACTGGACCCCTATCTCATACTACCTATAAAAATTACCCCAAAATGAACAAAAGACTCATTTTGGGGTAATTTTTATAGGTAGTATGAGATAGGTAAGAAACTAAAACTATAAACCTCTCAGAAAAAAACATACGTGTAAATCTTCAAGACTCTGAATTAGCAATGGTATCTTAGGTACATACCCAAGAGAATTGAAAACATGTGACCGCCACAAAAACTTTTACACGTTTATAGCAGCATAATTCAAAATAGCCAAAATTTGAAACAATCCAAATGCACATCAACTGATGACTGGATTAAAAAGAAATGTAGTATATCCATACAATGGAAAAGTATTTGGCAATAAAAAGGAATGCATAACTGACACATGATAAAACATAGATAAATCTTGAAACAATATGCTAAGTGAAAGAAGCCAATCACCATAGACCAAGAATTATGATTTTGTTTATGTGAAATGTCCAGAGTAGGCAAATCTATAAAGATATAAAGTAGAAATTAGTTGCCCAGAGCTGAGAGGAATGGAGGAAGTTGAAAAGTGGTTGCTACAGGGTACAAAGTTTTGTTATGGGGCGATGAAAACGGTCTATACTTAGACTGTGGTAATGGCTGTAGACCTCTGTGGACAGGCTAAAAACCAGTGAAGTACACTCTTGAGATTGTATGTGAAGTATGTCTCGATAAAGTAGCCACCAAACAAAAACAAAAACAAAAAACAAGTAAACAGCAAAAGTTATCTCAAGAGAGAAGATTTAGAGGCGCAGAGATATGGAAGTGTATTTCTCTTTGAAAAACATAATTCTGTAGCATTACTACTATGCTAAGATGCTCATTATTCCCTTATGTTTTAGAAGAACACATGTTATTAAAGGCAGAAGAAGACCTTATTTAGTTTTTGGTCCTTTAATTCTTCTTTAAAATATAAAAAATTTTTGAGTATACAAACACTAGTTACTTTTTGCCCTTTTTTAAAAATAAATCTTTATTGTTGAAAGTTGCCCCTTTCTTCTTGAAAATCATAATATTTTGAGTATGTAGCTAAAAATTATGTAATACATTCTGGATACTGTCAGATATCCATTATCTATGAAATGAGGCAGATATGAAGAAAGAATAGAAGGTTCACAGTTTGAAGTTTTAAATGTTTCCCCTTTATCCATACTTAGATATTTAAATACGATGCTTATTTTTTGTGCCTCAGTTTCCTCTTCTAAAAATGGAACACGACCTTTGATTAAAATCACTCTTATAAAAATACAGGTTTCTCAATATCCCTAAATACTGTCCAGATTACCATAAAATTCAAAAAACAGGATAGCAGCTAAGAGGTCCATAACTCTAAGTCACCTGGACCTACAAGGGCAATAAGAAATCCTTCTAGCTTAGTCAAACATGTTGGTCTGGTGCCTCAGAAAGATACTGAAGTACCATTTACAAATAATTAAGAAAGGCATACAAAAAGATGGGAAATAAACTAAAATGTCTAAAAACACAAAATGATTAAAATAATTATATATTTGAAATAATATAAAATGTTAAATTTATACAAAGATGTTATTCTGTTAAATATAGATCGCCATTGGATATCATACGTTACTTTTTATAAAATTAGAACAATCTTCAAAATTGTTAAATTGTTAAGTTCTTTTGCTAGCTATTTTGGCATGTCTAGCATAAAAGTAATATTATTACTACTTTTCTCAGGATTATAATTCAAGAATGATATGTGACTAGCATTCTAACCTATTCTCAAATCACTTAGGACATGCTGTTACTTTAAAAATTCAAATATATAGTTAAGTTGATAAAAAACATTGGGCTTAGATTTATTTATGGGATTTCCTATAAACCTGACTCTATTTCCATTACCATTTGTTTTATCATTTTGTAAGAAAGCTAAATTTAAGACTACCTACAGGATAAATGTTTCCAAACTCTGTATAAGCATTCATAGTGGCTCCTATGATCTTAAATCAAGGAAAACATCCATTTCTAGTTGAAATCTAAAACTCACCACACTTTATTATGCTTCAAATACAGAGTAGAATCTCTCTTTGAAACCATAGTTTCCACTTGCAAAGTACTTTTCCTTATTCTGACAGTTTGATTAAAATTTACACAGACCTAAAGGGCTCGGGCTGAAGAACAGTGCCTTCAGCATCTAAAAGTTTACAGCAATTACTTTTCCACAGAGCAACTGTACTTACATCAATATCCTCTTGCGTAAAAGTTTCTGGATCTTCTCCCATCATGTTGGCTAAATGTCTCTTCCCTATGTTGAACTCCTCAATCTGCTTTTTAATAAAATCCACTGTGTAGGTTTCACGTCTTAAGGCTTTAACATTTTTCTTTGTTGTTACAACTGTGACATGTTTTAGCCTCAATATCTAGCAGAAAATATATGTGGAAAGAAAAGAAAAAAAATTTATATTAAACAATGATCTGTAGGCCATTGTCTCTAAATAAAATGGGATATTCAAATAGTTGTCTTCTTTATTATAGAACTCAGTTGGCAGGAATCTGCAAACCAGGTAAAGGGCCTGTGAAGGAAGCTGTTAGAATTGTCCCTTGCTCAAAAACTTGTTTTTTAAAGCCTATGCTTACAAAGTAGTTTAAATTATTAGCATTTCAACACAATAAAAACAAAAATACTACCCACATCCATATTTGATACTGATCCATCAACTTCAGCTACTTGTTCAGGGGGTTGATTCCCGGTCAAAGGCGCATACCTCAGTGGGGGTACCTCGGTTATGGTTACCTTGGTTGTGGTTCGTCCTGGCTGGGTGTGGGTGGGAGGCAACCAGTCAATGTGTCTCACATCGATGTCTCTGACTCAATCTCAATCAATCAATCTCTCTCTCTCTCTCTCTCTCTCTCTCTCTCTCTCTCTTTCCTCCCTTCCTCCCTCCTTTTCACTTTCTCTAAAAAGCAATGGAAAAAATATCCTTTGGTCTGTGGGCCACTAACCACTGAGCAAGCAGGCCAGGGCTACTTGTGATATTTGACATACACGAAATGAAGAGTGACCGTGCCACTTACTTAAAAAGAGGCAAAGGTACCAGCAGACAGAAACTAACGAGCAGAAGTGGGGGTAAAGGGACATGCACCCTTAGACCAGCGGTTCTCAACCTGTGGGTCGCGACCCCTTTGGCGGTCGAACAACCCTTTCATGGGGTCGCCTAGACCATCCTGCATATCAGATTACGATTCATAACAGTAGCAACATTACAGTTATGAAGTAGCAACGAAAATAATTTTATGGTTGGGTCACAACATGAGGAACTGTATTTAAAGGGCCAGAAGGTTGAGAACCACTGCCTTAGAATATAGGCCCTCTCCTTGTTTAGGGTACAAATGCAGCCTATCTTTGAATGCCTTAAAAGTAATAGGTTTAGCTTAGTTTGAAACTTTATTCCATGGTCCTTATTTTAAATTGACACAATGAAGAAACTGCTTCACTAAAAATAAAGACAATTTCTTAGTATTAATTTTGTTCAATATGCTCTGTAGAAATAAGGGCTTTCACATCCTTTTAAACTATCAGTAATGATATCACACTTGCTGCTGTGAATCCTTTATGCTGTGGCAATAGGAATCCCAAAAGAACCTGAAAAATGTTTTCAAATGGCCATTCAGTTGCTGGAGAGAATTAGAACAGATCTTGTCCTGGCTTTTCTCAAAATCTTTAATCTGTGGTTCTCAACCTGATTCCTGCCTCAACAATTTTAAACACTCTTAAGCAATATTTAGACCTAGTAACTCATTCATTCCCTTTTCATAAACATAAAAATCTCTTTTTAAAGCCTGTGCTTACAAAGTAGTTTAAGTGACTAGCATTTCAACACATTAAAAACAAAAGTACTACTCACATTCATATTTGATACTGATATATCAACTTCAGCTACTTGTGATATATGTATGTATACATTTTAATCCTCACTGTAGGATAATTTTTTCCAGTGCTTTTCAGAGAGAGTGCAAGCAGGGGAGAAGGAGGGAGAGAGAGGAAAGGAGGCAAAGAGAGAGAGAGAAACAGAAACAGAGACAAAGACGTGAGACACCACTAGTACGATCCCTCCCTCATCCATTCCCTAACCCAGGGGTGGGCAAACTTTTTGACTCGAGGGCCACAATGGGTTCTTAAACTGGACCGGAGGGCTGGAACAAAAGCATGGATGGAGTGTTTGTGTGAACTAATATAAATTCAAAGTAAACATGGGGGGAGGAGGAGGGAGAGAGAGGAAATGAGGCAAAGAGAGACAGAAACAGAGACAAAGACGTGAGACACCACCAGCACCATCCCTCCCTCATCCATTCCCTAACCCTTTGAGAATCAGAGATTCAAATAACTCTATAGTAATTTGTCACCACAGTTACAATAGAAAAGGAAAAAATATTCAGGCCAAATATTAAAATATCCAATTAATAGAAAAATTATGTTCCAAACTCTCACAAATTTAAAGTGATAAAATAGTTTCTTATTATTCTTTGATGAGTAAGAAAGAGCAATTTAAAATTCCATGAAACTTTATAGTTCACTTTTCCTTGGGAAAGCACAGAGCAGTTTCTCTTGGTATTATGAACAGACAATTGTTTTCTTACAATGCTCTATGAAGACACAATGTTACTACCAATGAGTAAAACCAAGACCCAAATTGGCTTATGTATATAGTTAGACTGCCCTTTTATAGAGAGCCTGTTTTCACACCCCTGCTACCTCTCCCCCAGCCAAGTGCCACCAGCTCCAATTCCCTATGTCAATAGTTTTATCATCTTTTCCCAGGCTTTTCTTTAGATCCCACTGTCTTCTCTGAACAGTGGAGAAAGTTACTTCCCATACTCAAAGTGAAAATGCTTTTCTGCCCCAAGAGACATGGTAAAAGGTATGAATTTGGGGAATAAAAATAATAGTCATAGAGTAGAGCTAATTCTTCCAAATGTTCATTGCCAAAATGATTACACTGCTGGTGTTGTAAATAATATGACAAATGTTTTTGTCCATAGCTAAAACAATCCATTCATAATACAAACAAATCCACCATGGCTCCCACCAATCACCAACCACAACCCTCAGGAGGAGAAAAGGAGTCTTCCAGTGAACATGGCTCCATTCACTGACATAATGAATGCTAGAGGAAGAACATTAAGGAGGAAAGGGATGTGTTCCATTTGGGCATGATGGGTTCCAGAAGCCTACGGGCATCTCAGGAGAGGGGTCTAGGAGGCAGATGGCTGTGTGTGTGTGTGTGTGTGTGTGTGTGTGTGTGTGTGTGTGTGTCACAGGAAAGATCTGAGCTAGAGATATGGTCTGTTACTCACATAGGACATGAAGCAGGGGAAATGGCAGGCATTAGTGTTCCAATGAGAAACATCTCTTCTATGCAAAGAAGCAAAATAGTTTGTGAGGGTGAGTAGGTGGAGAAGTAAGGTTACTTATATCTTCTGGCCACTATTTTCTTTTGTGAGGTAGGTCATGAGGTGGTCTATAGGGTGAGAAGTGATAGGTTTGATGGACTGCACACTTCATATCCAAACAGTGGTTGTAAAGGGTAGACAGAGCAAAGGGGGAAAAAGTAGGAAAAAAACAACAAAACTTATATGGCTATTTATACTGAATATTAGCCAAGGGAATAATATCAAAGAAACAGAAATCTACATGGTTTATACTATGTGCAAATTTTTTTCACCAGTTATATTTTTGTTTCCTATATATTTCCTTTGTTTCAGTGGTATACTCAATGCACTACTTAGTTCAGGAGAGTTTTATCTGAAGGCAGACTGTACCCTTCAGCGTTATAAAGTGTGCCATTCCCACATAACACTTCTATCCTGAACTCAGTTCTACTGGGTCACAGTATTGCAACTCTATTTTAAACTCCCATTAGCACTACCCTTGAATATCATTGCCCACATTTTTTATTTAAATTTAGTCATCTTAGGTTTTGTTCTTTTGGCCCAATATGAGTTTTTTAAAAATATGAGATTATCCCATTTAAGTGGGTTTTGATATTGTCTTATTTTTTTTATCTTATTTTATCTTTACATTTTTTATGCTTCCTTCCTGTTTTCATTTTTTTGCTATATGGTCTGTGCTTTTTAAAATTCATCTTTTGATCTGGCAATTTAGACGGTACATAGCCTGTTTTTATTTTACTAGTTTTCATCCACGTCTCTGATAAAATGTTTACACATACTTCTCCTACCAACTTCAGCAATAAAACAATACCCAATGAACTCTTCACCTACTTAATCTCCTTTTTCAATCACAGTAATTATCTATTATTCTGTCCTCTATATATATATATCCCCACTCAGTCTTATTTCTTGTCCCTTTTTTCTGCATTCTGTATGATTTATAAACATTTACTCCTTGGTTTCTTGGTGTGTGTTTTTCCCCTTTCTCTGCAGTGCCAATTCTGCAGTCATTCTGAGTTTTTAGCTTCTCACTATATATCATTAGTCCATCTTCAAAATTCTTTCCGTAACAGTTTATTTTAATCATATCTGTTTCACAGAACTCTCCCTCACCCAACATTTAAAAAAATGTTCTTGGTAGTGTTAAGTAATTAAAATAACTTCCATTTTATTGAGTAAATATTCCTTTGTCTTTTCTTTATCTCTTTTTCACACTGCTTCTCTTTTGTTCCTGCATTTTAGCATCATCTCAAATAAAAGAGTTGATTGTTGGCTTGAAAACTCAATTCTTCACTTGATTTAAAATTACTTTTTGCGTTGGCTGGTTTGGCTCAGTGGATAGAGCATCAGTCTGTGGACTGAAGGGTCCCAGGTTCGATTCCTGGGTTTTGGGCTTGATCCCCAGTAGAGGGCATGCAGGAAGCAGCTGATCAATGATTCTCTCTCACCATTTCTCTCTCTCTCTGCCTCTCCCTTTCTGTCTGGAATCAATAAAAATATAAAATTACTTTTTGTCTTTCTCTATTCTCTGGAGTTTGTGACATGAGGTAGTAGCTTTTGTACTTTTAACATAAATGAGACGTTAAAAAGATCTGTAAAATGTTTATTGTTGTTCATAAAGGGTTTTTTCTTTAACATGCTCCTAATTTGCTATTTTTCAAACAATCTCTTTAGGATCTTTTAAAAAACATTTGTACATATTGCTGAAAATTATGACTAAGTTACAAAGCCATCATAACATCAGCACCAGACTACTAAATATATTTATTAAATGTTGTGAATTATTTCAGCAACGAATTCACACAAAAAATACTTACATTCAAAGGCATCCATTACTCATCAGTACAAGCCATCAAGTAAGATGAGGCTTCAAGCAAACTGACTAGACCTTTAGCTGAGAACAGTAAGAATCCCTGGAGAGATTCTGGTTTGCCACTAAGTACAACTCCCAACAAAATTTTCTGCAGATTCTATTTCCATCTGAGAAGCTATGACAGAGAATTTCCCTCAGACTTTGTTTTCATGGAACTGTATTGATACAACTTGACAGATATGTTTCTTTTTAAAGATAATCAGTATGTCAGGCAACTGTAATTTTAATCCAGCAGGTTGCCAAAAAAGCAGACACATCCTGACAAAGCAGTGATGTCCCAAATTTGGCCAAATGCCAGTGCTACACACTACCTTAATGGTATTACAGAAGTATCAAGTATTTGTTCAACTGGATAAAAATGGAACAAAAAGAATCTGTTGCTAATTTGAATAGAAAAGGCAAAAAAATACTTTGAGGAATAAAAGAAAAGGTAAAGACATATACAGATTAAAGAAAATGTGTACAAATATAGGATATTACAACCTCCAAGAGCCCATAAGATGAGAGATGAGAAAAACAGATACTTAAGACAAAGATAGCAATGATTCTACGATAAAACCAAAATATACAAGGGCTAAGCAACCATATGCCATCGATCATTCTGGCAGACAGTTCAATTCAACAAGAGCATACTGGCTCAGTAAAAATGGAAAGTTCAAGCACTAAGAAAGTGCTTAGTAAAAAATAAAAGAGGGAATATTACCAAAATTTTGTAGTAATATTTTTCAAAACAGAAATTGGTCTACTGCTTTTCCTTTTTATAAATAATAAATATTATAGAAAGCTAAATTAGCATTCCTAAATTATATTGATACATGATTTAAGAATTCATGGGTAACCTTTATAGGATACCATGACTGTAAACTGCTTATAATATACTAGAGGTCCAGTGCACGAAATTTGTGCACTGGGGAAGGGGGGTCCCTCAGCCCAGCCTGCGCTCTCTTGCAGTCCAGGAGCCCTCGGGGGATGTCCACCTGCAGGCTGACATCCCTCTCGCAGTCTGGGACCCCTTGCTCTGAAATGCTTGCCTGCTTGCTCCTAACCACCCGCCTGCTCACTCCTTACCACCTGCCTGCTTGCTCCTTACTGCTTGGCTCGCCGCTCTTTGGCGCTGCTGCAGAGGCAGGAGAGGCTCCTGCCACCACTGCTGCTCTCACCGGCCATGAGCCCGGCTTCTGGCTGAGCGGCGCTCCCGCTGTGGGAGAGCACTGACCACCAGGGGCAGCTCCTGTGCTGAGTGTCTGCCCCCTGTTGGTCAGTGTGCATCATAGCAACTGGTTGTTCCACCGTAACGGTCGCTTAGGCTTTTATTATATAGATAAAAATCTAATATATGAGAGATTTTTAAAAATTTTCAAGTTCCTTAGTATAGCAAAATAGTATGCCAAACATTCCAATCCTGTCTCTCACCATTCTATCAATTATAATTGAAATCCACTCTGTACAACTCTGTCCCTTGTGTACCTATTACATTCCTAGAACAGAATACCTTTTTTCACAAAACTCCTAATTGCTCCTGAAGACTACTCTCACCTCCTCTGAGAAGCTGCCCACCACTCTATCCATCACCACTCCTTTGAATTAGGCATTGCACTTCTGTGCTCCCCCATATTTACCTCTGTAAATCTTACAGTACACTGTATATAGATCCCTGATAATCATGGGTTTATAATCCAAAAAGTTTAGCCACTCACGAGCAAGATTCCCTCCTCCACCCAAAATTTGGGACATTGAGATATTTGCAATTATATATCGGAATATGAAACATGTGTGCCACAAGATTGGTATGCAAGAGGAAATGTGCTAGTGAGGTCCCAATTGAGCACTCAAAAGTCACTGCTTAACAAAACTTGTCTCTTTTTCCTTGTTGTATCAGTGTTTCTCACTGTGACCCACAATATTTACTGTTTATATCACCACCTAGTATACACTAGCACATTAAACAAATGTAAAAATTACTTATCCTGTACGAGAAGCACTTTACTATTATTATACTAGAGGCCCAGTGCACGAATTTGTGGCACGGGTGGGGTCTGCTAGCCTGGCCCGAATCAGGGCAGATTGGGGCTGGGCCTATCAGGAGAAGGAGATGGTGGGAAGTTGGCTGGCTGGCCCACCCAGATCAGGGCTCAGGGCAGGGCCAGCTGGGGGGAGGGGCAGTGGGCAATTGGCCAGAGGGCCCCTCTCCTGAATGGGGTGGGGGGTGCTGATCGGGGCCAGCGGCCTGGGGGAGAGGCCATGGGTGGTTGGCTGGCTGTCCCTGCCCCTGATCAGGGTGGGGGGGCTGATCTGGGGTGGGGCCGGGCAGGGGGAGGGGCTGCAGGAGATTGGCCGGCCAGCCCGCCCCCTAATGGGGTGGTATTTAGGAATCTGGGGATTGCTAAGGGTCCATACTGTCTGGTATTTGTTTGATTTTTATTTATTTCACAGTGTCTGGCTCAAGTAAAGTGCTCAGTAAACATTTTCCATATGGACTAAGGCTTTATTTCAAGAATAATCAGGGAGATGAGAATTACAGTAACAAGGAGAAATTGTCACCCATCTTATTGAAAACATAGTAATACCTAATGTAGATAGAAAAAGGGGCACACTCATAATTCAATGATGGAATGTAAATTGCTACAGACTTTTTGAAAAGCTATGTAAGAATATCTATTAAAATTTAAGATGTAGCCCGGCTAGTGTGATTCAGTGGTTGAGCATTGACCTATGAACCAGGAGGTCATGGTTTGACTGCGGGCTCAATACCCAGGAGGGGGTGTGCAGGAGGCAGCCAGTCAATGATTCTCTCTCATTACTGATATTTCTATCTTTATCTCTCTTCCTCTTTGAAATCAATAAAAACATATATTGCAAAAAATTTAAGATGTATACATCCTTTGCAGCAATAACCTCAAAACTCAAACTCTCTCCCACAGAAACAAAAGCATCAGTCAGTACCTAAGAACTGTACCAGGATGTTTACTGAATACTTTGTTAGTGGAAGAAAATGGAAACAAGCAAATGCCCATCAATTGTTAAATTAACACTGACACACTCACACCAAGAATATTAGACAGCAGTTAGATTCATAATGACTTGGAGGGATTTCTACTATATATGTAAGTTAAGCACTCTCCTTCCGGAAACACTTTCCGTTTTCCACACCGGGCTCGCTGCCTTCTCTGCGGTCCGCGCTCATCCATTGGGGTTCTTCTGTGCTGTCTGTCTGCCTTCGGGGCCCTGTCCTGCTCGCTCCCCGTCAGCACCTCTGCTCGGCGACCTACCGTGGCCCGGGCCTCACTCACCCACAGGGCGACTCAGGGCTCGTACCAGTTCCCTCTTGAATAGACTTCCCCACCTGCGCGCCTCCTGGAACCCCACGTGCACACCCACAGGGCCTGACATACCCAAAGGGAAACCCCTTTCCTTCCTCTCAAACCTGCTCTCCTTTCCGGATCCCGAGTCCGTGAACGTCCTCACCCCCCGCGTGGAAGGCAGCCTCCCACCGCCCTCAGGGTTAGCGAAAGGTGCAAGTCTGTCTTCCTCTCGCCACAGAGTTTGGGGAAATGTAAGAGAACAGAAGCTGCACAGATTCGAGGCACCCTGAACTCATTGCCCGCCCCACGGAGTGACTTCCCCACCTGGCCCTCCGGTCACGGCGAGAGCCCAGGTCCGCTCACCGCCCGGCCGGCCTCCTCCCTCGGGGCAGGGCGCGCGGAGGCCGGGACCGCCCCCACTCACGCAGGGACCCAGCGGGCGCTCCAGGTAACTCCCCTCACACCCCGCGAACCCAGAAACCACCTCCAGAGAGGCCGCGGGACCAGTGCCCGCTTCCCTAACCTCACGACTCTGCCGCCAAGCACCGGGGACCCGAGGTCGCGGGGAGGCCCGCGCGCGCGACAGCAGGGCCCGCTCCCTATCCTCGCGCTACAGGGCCCGGCACTCCCTCCGCCCAGCCTTACCTGGGGCCCGGGAACCGACTGCAACTCCGCGGCTTTCCAGAGGACCTGTCTCGGGGCCAGGCTAACCCTTGGCCGGAGAAGGAGCCGCTGGGAAACCACGGCACCGCAGGACACACAGGAGGCCGCCATCTTGGCTGAGGCGGGCCCGCCGGCGAGCGGGGGCGGGGCCCGGGGACTGCGCAGGCGCCGGGGGCGGTTCAGGGCTGGTCGGGAAGCTCCAGCCAGAAGAGACAGGGGGCGTGTCCTGCGGCCCGAGGCGGCTGATAGGGCGCGTGAGCCCGCGGGGCGTGTCCGGCCCCCACCCCTGGCCCACGTGGACCCTGGCGGGGAGGCCGTGGGTGGTGCCTGCGCTCGCCTCTCCTGCGGCCCTCGGGTTAGGTCGCCGGCCGGGTCTCCTCGGTACCGACTGACTTCCCGGCGCATCGCTGCACCTTCTTCCCTGCGCGGCCGCCCTCACCGCCCTCCATCCCGTCTTCCCACGCTCCGTAGCTCCCGTCTTCCTCACGTAGGAGTGGGCTCCAGGTTTCGCTCCCTCGCATGGGTTTGCCCTGCTCTCTGCCTTTCCCATTTCCCAGGGTCCAGGGTCTCCACCTCCTCCTGCAACCACCAGACCACTAGGTCCAAGGCATTCGCTCTTCCGTTGTTTTTTGACTGTAATCACGATACCAGGCCCAGCCGGACACCGGTGAGGACGAAATGCTGCCTTACTCATCTTTGCACGTCACTCCCCATAGTGTGGGTACTGAGCCTCACTTGAAACCCAATCAGAATTAAGTAAGTAGGTGTTAACTAGAGATGAGTATGCTTTCCCTTCTGGGACTCCGGTCCTCCTGGCAGTAGCTCCAGGTTGCTTTACACGGAATACATAGTAAATGATGTAGTCAAGGGCTCTGAAAGGATTCCTAAACATTTAGATTTGAAGGACCAGTAAAATTAAAACACACACATACAGAAAATCTGAAGTCATACAAAGTTATCAAGTAAATAAATACCATCTATTATCATTTCTTAAAACGCAGAACATTTCAACATTAAAAAGGTAGAACTGACATAATCTCAGAATAAAGAGCAGTCCTTTAAATGGAATGCATTTAGTTGTACAAAAAGCTCACTCTGTTGTTCTTTCTTTTACCTTTTAGGATAGTGAAACTTACATCAAATTGGCAGAGGTCCAGGAACCAAACTTTATAGGTTATTAAAGTAGATGTCTTGCCCTAGCCAGTTTGGCTCAGTGGATAGAGCATCAGCCTACAAACTGAAGTCCTGGGTTTGATTCTGGTCAAGGGCACATACATACCTTGGTTGCAGGCTTGATCCCCAACCCCATCTGGACAGGGGCAGGGGGGGGGGGGGGGGGTTGGCATAAATAGTTGTCTTTTTTTTTTAATTCAAACATCAGACTTCATAGTCTGAATTTTGAGCTAATGATTGCTCTCTTTTTCTGATTTATTTTATTTGTTTAGTATTATTTATTTATTTATTTTTGTTAATCCTCACCTGAGGACATTTTTCCATTGACTTTTTTAGGGAGAGCGGAAGAGGGAGGGAAAGACAGAGAGAAACATCGATGTGAGAGAAACACATAGATTGGTTGCCTCCTGCACCGGCCCAGACCAGGGCCCTGGCCTGGGAGGAGCCTGCAACCAAGGTACGTACTCTTGACTGGAATCGAACCCAAGACTCTTTGGTCTGCAGGCCCACGCTCTATCCACTGACTACCACCATACTATTGTGTCTGTCTGTGTTTTATATATATGGTGGTTTTTGGGGTTTTTTGCTTAATCCCTTTACCTTTTTTCATTCAGCCTCTCCCTCCCGCCCCAATAGATATCTCTAAATAACAGTTTCTATACATTGTAAAAAAATTTTAATTTAATTGTGGAAGTTTAAGTAGAAACAAGCAAATAAGTTTGTAGAAGCAGAATTTATACCATATTTTTTTCAATTGGCAAATGAGATTTATTTAAACAAGTCAACAGAAACAGGAAGTGGTTCAGCAGCCGTAGTGACAGGTTTCTCGAGTGTGCGATGGGCTGATAGTTGGGGCCTGGCCATCACTCAGGAAGCTCAGTGTACCAACTCGGGGGAGGCCAGTGGCTATAGCTTGGGGCTCAGCATGAGCCTGAAACAGATTAGTCCATGATCTTCAAACCTAGCACACTTCCTCGTCTGGTCGCCCAGCACGGGCAGTAATGCTGTATGAACTGCTTCGAAGCTCCATTTTTTCCAGGATTCAAGGGGCTCTATTCTGCTGACTTCAGTCTGAAGTAATCTGCTGCACAATTCCAGAATATTCATGGTTGATGCTGTTTCCCACCCATTCAACAGGAGCCATTCTTTCTGAGACTTGAAGGACTTGCAGGTTTCCACCCCTGCCAGGTCACACTGTCGTCTCCGCAGGTGTCCCAGCCGGTCATCCATGTTCACCTGTTCATAGTTTATGACTGTGGCAGTCCCAAAACTGTTGGCTTCCCGCTTGATTAGGTTTGCAGACCGCCCCAGAGTCTTGTAGACCAGCACACATTCAGTTATGATGCCAGTCACAATTGTGTATTCATACTACTTTTCTTTAGTTTCTCTTCAGTTAAGGTCAATCTTGAAGATCTGCTCCAATTATGGCACATCTCTTTGAATCCAACATGAGTCCATCGATTTGAAATGTGTCCTTTGAATGTAATTCTAAAATGGGTTTTGCTACGAGAGGTTTGAATTTGATGCTGTGTAGCTTTCTCATGACTGTCATTGGAAAGTCACCTTGAAAATATTTCATGCCTGTATAAATGCCTTTGCAAGCTGACCAGTGCCATGGACTCAAGCAAAATAACTGTTAATTTCAGGGCCCTTTCTTTCTTTAGACAGTTTCACAAAATGCTGGATGAAAAGGTCATCCCAGAAGCTAATGTTTACCGCAGACCTCTTGCATGTAGACACATTTTCACTGGTGCCACGCATGCCCTCGTTGTCTGTTCTGTGAAGGAGGAAGAGCAGGAGTTGAAAGTGGGCCTCTTGAGTCTAGTGGCCACGGGCATGGAGGTTCAAGGAGTGCTGTGCCCACCGTGACATAGAAGCGGGGTTGACAGCCACTGGGGGAAGGTTATGCCATTTTTTAAATAAGTATGTTGGAACATATAAGAACTATGTTAAGTACTGAAGTTAGGTTAAGAATTTTGCAGATATTATTCTTTTTTTTTCCCTAAAATTCATGTTACAGTCTTTTATTAGATTACAGTAAAGCAAATGTAATACATTTCCCACTTCTACGGGCAACATGTGGACTGCTGCATTAAATTTCCTGTGTAGCATTTGCGTTTGGGGACAGATACACCGTTAATAGGTTGATATTGGGTACATAATTAGGAGGAGAAAGAATGATTAGAATAATAATTTGATAAACATTTAAAATATGGAAAATCCATAATTTTACCAAACACCTAAAGCTTAGATTCATTTCATTAAAAAAAAATATTTTTATTGATTTCAGAGAGGAAGGGAGAGGGAGAGAAAGATGGAAACATCAATGATGAGTGAGAATCATTGAATGGCTGCACACCCCCTACTGGGGATTGAGCCTGCGAACCATTCATAGATCTATACTCAACCACTAAGCCACACTGGCCGGTCTAGATTCATTTAATTTTTCTATCATTTACTAAGCATGGCATAGGCATCAAGCATCAGGCCCCTAAAGTCCAATATGGTGGAGTCACGTCCAATGTGAGGATTTGGTTCTAAAGTCATCTGGTAATGTAAACATAGGAGAGTCAAAATGTTGGGCTAACAGCAAGTGTTGCTAAGATGTGAGATAGCAGGAACTGTTATATGCTGCTTGTGGGGGAATAAATTGGTACAGCTCTCCTGAAATCAACCAATGAATCAATGACCTGAAGTTAAGATGAGCAAACCCTACAATCCATCAATTACATTCCTAGGTATATACACTGTAGAAAGTCTTGCACAGAAATTTTGTAACAACAGACATATCTGTCTATGGATAAGAGGATGGATGGATAAGAGGACCATAGAGAAATGACAATAAATGGACCAGAACTACACATATGAATATGGATGAGTTTCACCAGGAGGGAAAAACAGACACATATACTTACATAGTATGATTCCATTTATATAACGTTCAAAAACCAAGCAATATATTGTTTAAGGATTTATTTATATGTAGTAAAACAATAAAGAAAAGCAAGAGAATGATACACCCAAACTTCAGGACAGAGAATATCCAGGGAGGAGGAGAATGAAGCCATGAGCAAGGCACACAGGGTGGCATCGCTGCACCTGCCAGTGTTCCTCATCGTTAGATGACTGTTCTTTTTGTGCCTGGCTGATTTCACTTAGCATGGTGTCTTCAAGGTTCCTCCACAATGTAGCATGTATCAGAACTTCATTTCTTTTTAAAGCTAAGTAAATATTTCTTTGTATATATCACACTTTGTTCATCTGTCCACAGACACATGAGTTGTTTCCACCTTTGAGCTATTGTGAACAATGCTGCTATGGATGTGGGTGCACAAGTATCTGTCCAAGTCCCTGCATTCAATTCTTTCGGGTCTATACCTACAAGTGGCATTGCAGAATTCTTGTTTTTAATGTGACAAGGTTTCTAACTTAATCTACACAGGCAGGTGCCCACAAAAGATAACTTGAATGAAATTTAAATATGCAACTTGAAAAGTCTTTAATTATCTAGACCATACCCAGCTAAATAAACGGTATTCATGGGTATGAAAAAGAGTAATGTAAATTTCACTGGAGTTTGAAAATATTTATGAGAAGTAATTTTAGTACATAATTGCTATATATCAAGCTTCCATAACAGAAAACCCTCTCAGCCTACAAATTAAATCTATTCTGCCAAGATGCATATATTTTACCATATTAGTTGAATTTTAATAAATAACAAATAGAACAAATATCTTCTTTGTTTTTCCCCCATTACGGACTCAATCTATCTACATGTGCTCTCCACCTACAAGCTGTCAGTTATGCTTGCTGTGAAAGAGACAGCACTAAGGGAGCTGTCAGTCAAAGCTGTTATAATGCTTCAAGAATCATTTCTCCAAGCTTCATTATCAAAAATAAAACAAATTTACATGGAACATAAAGATGGGTTGATCACATCATTCGCTGTGCATTGAAAATGACT